AGCAAACTATATAACAAAGTCATAGGTCTGCGTTCACCCTGTTCATGACAGAATTTGCTTCCAGAATGGCATGGCATGTGTTATTCTCAGGGTAAAACATGACGTTGTCTCCCAGAAACCATTGCACAATGCATTTGAGACTGATTTGCGCTATTTCAAAGTTTTTTTAAGCAGAGGCTTAACAAAAAAAGGGGCCTACATAAATCATGGCTCTGGATAGGGGTTGTCCACGAAGGACGTCCGCACAAAAAATTTACCTTTTGCGTACCCCCCCCCCCCCCGGGACGGGGGGGGGGGGTTGGCGGTTTGCCGCCCGCATTTTTTTTTTTTTAAAGGGGCCCACAAAAATCATGGCTCTGGATAGGGGTTGTCCACAAAGGACGTCCGCAAAAAAAATTTACCTTTTGCGTTCCCCCCCCCCCCCTGGACGGGGTGGGGGGGTTTGCTGATGTCCGCCAGCATTTTTATTTTTTACTATTGTGTAATGCCAATTTATCATCATACTGTTGTTTTTTGTTGACAATCGCTTGATTTCACAATGACAATGCCTCGGACAACTTAAGCTTCATGATCAATATATTTGATTCTCTGCCTGTAATGTATTTGTGGCGTAATTATATCTTGGAGTTATTAAAATAGATACACTGGCTTCCCATTCATTTTACACGACGCCCAGAGGGATCGCATACAATGTTATAATTATAATGCCCCCCCCCCACCTCAAAAGAAAACAAATACAAACTTTGGGGGGGGGTTGATTTCAAATTAGCTACCCTTTTTATGCCTATTAAGATTCACAATCATAGGATAAAACTTACGACTTACAATAATTAATAAATATATTTGTATTTCATTATATAGGGGAAATAAAGTGGCCGGTTAACTTTAAAAATAGGTTAACTTAAAAAATAAATCATGGTTTAACATTACACCCTACCCCCTCCTTTTCAATAAATACTAAGAAATGCTCTTTAAACAAGTACTTCGCCTCAAAAGTGTGGAACTTACACTATCTTCATTAAAATTAAATGATTTTTAAATAAATAGTTTTCAGTTTTAATTTTTAACAAGTTAAGAGTATAACATTAAATCTACAAGTACCAGTTAGGTCAAAAAGTTAAAGACTCGCAAAGATCATGGTTTTGGTGCTTTAAATCACTGCGATGTATGCAGGCCACAGCCAACGATTTAGCTAGGTACACAGTGTAAGCAGGCCAAAGCCTAAGTCCATGGTTTTGCTAGGTACACACTTTCACTATATTATAGATGGTGCTGAATATACAAATTTAATTTTAATATAATAAATGCTGGCTAGGGGAAACCCTGAGCCAGAATGCCCAGATTCATATGATATTGATTGTAGTTGTGTGATTAACTGTCATTCATCGAATTTGAACTCTTAAAAAAAACAACATAGTTTTACATTCTACACATGGGCTGTGGGTAGGGCATAGTCCAAATTTACCAAAGCATTGTAATAGACTGAATTAGCCTTTGATACTTTTAAGAAACTTAGGTAAATTCAGAGAAAGCGGCCCGAGTGTATTTCCATGGCCCCCATCTTGGTTGCCTCGACCCGTGCACCAAGATGGCGGCCATGGAAAAATAGGTAAAAGTGCAGTTCAGGTGCGTATATTATTTCTGTTTGAATCTCTTATTTTCCCGCGTAAACTTATGTTAATTCTTTATAAAAAAGTATTTTAAAAGTTATATACCATCTTTTTATTGGAATACAACAACAATTTAACAAATTTTACGAGATAAAAAAAGTACATTTTTATGAATCTTTCGTGTTTTACGGAGCCATTGTGGTAAATCAAGGATAACTCTTCTGTCTTTAAAGATACTTTATAAAAGTTGCCCAATTGGATGAATCTTGTTGAAATAAATGATGTATAATTTATTTTATAACTTTACTATCAACTATAACCGGAATTGCCTGGGGCTGCATTCAGAAAAAAACATCTGTTCCGTCCTTTTAGTTCACATTGTTATTAAACGAAATGTCAACAACAAAACAACAACACTATAGTAAAAATAATAATAATTAATTTGTCTCCTATAAAAAAACAATTAAAATAACTTATGTAAACCTTTCGTTTTTCCCGTTTTCCGATGGCACCCGGAAGGATCATGATGGGATCCCGAACCCGATGTGATTCCGATAGAATCCTGGTCATGGTGGGATCCCGATCCCGGTAAGATACCGATCCCGGTGAGATCCGTTTCCGGTGGTATCCCAAACTAAATGAGATCCCAATCCGGTGGGATCCCGTTTCGGTGAGATTCTGATCCCGATAGGATTTTGATCCTAGTGAGATCCTGATCCCGGTGGGATCCCGATCCCGTGGGCTACCGATCCTGGCGGGATACCGGTTACGGTGAGATCCCGTTTCGGGTGAGATTCCGTTTCGGGTGAGATCCCGTTTCGGGTGATATGCAGATCCCGGTAATTATGGGGAGCTCACATACTTGACATACGAACCCAGCTTACAAGCCACATTGCAATTGTTACGAGCGCCATAGGAGAAATTACAGTTGTATTAACGTTATTTGTTGCCCCACAAGGTGCGCGTTTAAACCAAATGCTGCATCATTTAAAATGCCTGTTGCATCAACAATTTTAGTTATTGTTTCTTGGTCGTCCTGCCATTTTAAACAAAATGATCCTACAACCAGCAATACCGCAAAGCCAAAACGAGTCCGTCTTATAATATAAAAAAAAAATAATCACTAGCCCTCACTTTACTCAGCGCAAATCAGTCACCAGTAATAAGCGCATTTGCATACGAAAAAAGAGGAGGGAGTGCTCAAATTAGAGCTGACCAATCACGGACAGCGTATTAGCAGCCTTCAGGGTGATCAGCTTCACACCAGGTCCAGGACAATGATGACGTGTGTGTCCACTGCTTAGGGTGTGAACTGAGTGCATTCGTTTTCCTCTCCGCTTCGTGATGGTCCCAGCTTGACCTTTGCTCTCAGTTTCCGAATCACCGGAAGAGTCTCATATTTCAATCTAGGA